AACAAGTACATGTAGAAGGCAGTTATCAAGAGATCCACAAAAGGAGGAGAGCAGTTGAGATGCATCTACCTATAAATAGTACCAAACTTACATTACGAAAAAATATGACTTTTGCACGAGACACTAGCACCCAAAATTTCCTGTATACTGAAATTTTGTACTAAACCAGACACCAGCTATCAAGAGATTCACAGTCGTTGATATTTATTGTTGCTACGAGTTGTACGTTATCTTTCTGTAAATTTACATTTTTGTATTTTATTTCCTACAATTTAGTTCACGTTTCAATTTATTTATGTAATTTTTACATTCAATTCAATATTGCTTCATTGTTCTTCCACTATTTTTGTTTAGTGCTTTGCTTAATGACGTTGATTTTATTATTACATAAAAACACACTTAAAAAAAAAAATCTAAAGAGAACATAAAATTCAATCTCAAATTACTCTTGAATTTATTTATTTATTAATATAAATATATGATAATTGTTTAACTTATCTGTTTACGTTCGAGTGTCGCATCTTATTTAGCCAGTTTCCTATGGCAAATATTCGTCTCTTTCCTGCTCTTTCAACCGATTGACCCAGTCGTCCGAGGTAAGAACTCTGATAGGAGTAGGATCGTTGGGAATGACCTCTTGAGTCTTTTGTCTTGTTTTTTTCAAGTAAAATATCTTCTTAAAAATTATAATAACATTTTTTAATTTATTCACAATTTTATATGAAATGAGATAATATAAATATATTTATTTTATATTTTTAATGATTTTTTCATAAGAAAATGACATTTGATGACTTTGTTAAATCTTCCTTGTAAACACTAACATGTACTTTTTTTTTTTATATATAGTAATGGATGTTATAATAATAATTTATTATTTTGTGATATATTTCTTCACCATTTTAAAAAACACACTAATTTAAATAAATAAACTTATACTTCCTGAGAATTAAAAATATTCATTTCTTAAATTTTAAATAATATTACTTAAAATTTATTATATTTTCTTTATAAATTTAATTTTATCAATAAAATCAAATATTTATTAAAAAATAAATTGTAGAGTAATTAAAATAAATAGGAAAATATTAAAAAATAAAAAATAGTATTTCATACTTATAAATCATGAATCAAGGACTTTTTTTTAAAGTAAGGGATAAAAAAAGAATTATGATAAAATAACAAAGATAAAATAGAAATAAAAATAATATGACAACAGCTGTAAGATCAAACACTACACAAGGAACATTTAAAAATAATAATAAATTATGTGTTATTTAATGCAACAAGCTTCTAAAATAAGCTAATTTTATTAAATAATTTTTTTAAGCAAGCATTTAAACAAGTCAAATAAGCTAATAAATAACTTTAAATGCTACTAATTAAAAGACTTGCTAAACCTACTCATGTATAATAATGTCTGTTATTCTATTGATTAACTTTTAATAATTTATCAACTTTTATATTTTCTGTGGTCTTTTTTATAAGAAACAAAAGACTAAATCACTAAGATCAAGGAAAATAATTAATTTTGTTATGTTTTTTATAAATATAAATTTTATTCTAAAAATATTTATGATATTAAATGATATAATTAGTAATTTGTATATTTAATGATACTAATAAAAGAAGAGTATAAATTTTTTTTAAGAATTAATGTATCTTGAATATATCATTTGTTTCTTATAATAAGGACCAAGAAAATGCTCCATTTTGTTTCTTATAAAAAAGACTGGAGAAATATAAATGAGAGTTTATTATTAGAGAAGTAAAACATTTAGAGTTATTATTTATAATTTATCATGTGCATATTTTATAATTAAAATAGTTTGAAAATAATGTGTGTAGTACACTTTCTTTTGCTGATTTTGCTTTTTATTCTTTTAAATTTTATTCTAAAATTTGAAGATTCATGTTGTTTTTAATTTTTTCTTTATTACTTTATATAAAGTTTTAGTTTTTTTATATTATTTAACTTTTTTTATTACTTTATATAAATTTAAAATTTTTTATGAATATTTATTTTTATATTCATACAATTTTTTATTATTTTATATAAATTTTCAAATTTTTTTATTAATATTTATATTTACATTGATAAAATTATTCTTATTACCTTATATAAGTTTACATTTATAAAATTCATAATGTTTAATTTATTATTTGAGGTACTCTTAATCAAAATTTTCGGTAATTATATATCTTTAATTTTATGGAAAAAAAACATGTTTTTGCTATTAGAAATTGCAGATTCCATTGTTTCTATTCAATTTTTAAAAAAAAATTCATACTTTTTTAAAATAATCTTTCAGGCTTTTCTTTAGTTAATTATAATAAATTAATTTTTAATATTAAGATGTCTTTTATTTTTATTTATTTATTACAATATATATGATGCATGTATTTTTTTTATATATTTTTAATATAATATGTAAATTACATTTTTGTTATTTCATGTGTATATATATATATATATATATATATATATATATATATATATATCATAATTGATTTAATTTCTAGTAGTGTATTATATTTTACTAATGTTATAATCGTGCGAATTTTTCAATTTTTATAATTATTTTGATATTTCATATTTATTTTAAAATAAAATACACGTGTATTACATAGACTACTAAAGGTAATGACTGATCAATAATAATTCGATCAATTTGAAATGTTTATCTTTTTATAGATGAAAAATTACAAAAGAAAATAAAAAATTACGTATAATTACTTTAATTTAACTTTGTTAGTATTATCAATTAACAATTTCACCCAACTGTTAAGGAAAACAAAAAACAAAAACAAATATATTTGACTACCAAATGTGTTAATAATGAGATTGAGTATAATAATAGGAATGTTAATCAAATTTTGTTAAATATTATCAAGAAACAAATTACACCCATGGGACCCATGAGAAGGAGAAGAATTAATGTAAACAGTTTGTTGGATCATTGACTGCAAACAAAAACCACATTACTAATAGTTTCATTGACTCCTAATAGTTTTCAAAACCATAATTAATTACCAAATATGTAACGATATCGAGATTGAGTATAATAATAGGAATCTTAATCAGCAAATTATAATTAAATAAAATCTATAACAACTAATAGTAACAAAAGATGTGAACAAACTTAATGAGAATTCATTCATCTTCATATCTACTTGTAGCAATGAAATATACTTATTTTGTAAAATATCCAAATTTACCTAAATTGAAGTTGTGTTTACTGCCATATCTTATAATTGAAAAAAATTGTCAACATGGTCATCCACTTCATGAAAAAGAAAAAACACGTTGAAAAATATCCAAATTTAATTTACCTAAAGTGTATGACATAATTGAATGAAACTTCTTATTGGGCACTTTGCTATGCATAATTTTTCCAAAACGTCTAAATTTCCTCATCTAAATGTGTCACAACATATCTTTCTCTATCCTTCTAAACGGAAGTCCATGTATAACATTAGCAGAATTTGGATGCAAATTAAGACTGTATATAGAGACGCATTCTAGGTATTTGGGAAAGAATACAGATATATTATTCTCATATCACATCTTATTTTTATTTAATTTTTAAATTCTATTATTTTTTATCGTACCAAAACTATCTTCACATAAAATTAGAGATATTTTGCATAGACATGTGCATCTAAAACATATCAGTGCACAATGTAAGTTTCTTTATCAGAATAACTTAAATTTTAAAATAATTTATACGAGTAATATTGATTTGAAATACTTTACTAATTTAATATTAATATAGACACGTGACATACGTATCGCATTAAAACAAATACACCACGTATCACGTAGGGCACAAAAATGAGAGACACAACACATAGTTTGTCACTACACGATCGGCATTGTTGAAGTAGATCCCCACGTTTTAAATTTTATATTATTTTAGAAAGAAAAGTCTTCGCTTCATGTTAGATCCACACAAGGTGCTAGCATATATATATATATATATATGCATGTAATCTGTAAATTAACCTGCTGTCATATTCGTTGAAAAAGACTAATGAAAACATAGATAAGCATCCATTCCAAACAACGATAATGGGTTTATGTGCATCTAATCTTTCCGATCTTAAATATAAACAAAAATAATTAAAATATATTAATTAAAAATTTAATTAATCTCATTTAATAGACTCTTAATTTAATTAAATACTATATTTTCTGATATATCTTTCAAGATTATTTAAAGATGATTTAATATTTTTATTCACATTAAATATCATTAGTTGATGGTTAATTTTTTGTGTTAAATATCAAATACAAATTGCAAAAATTAAAAAATCATTTAACAATTTATTGAAAGAGAATTAAATTTTGATAACTAATTTTTTCTCTTTTCATTTTGAAGGTTACATGAAATTATTAATTATATATTGAAAATAAAAAAAGTCACTAAAAATATAATTTAAATTAAATAAAGATACTTTAAAAATAATTTCATTAATTAATGCAAAATCAATTAATAATTGCTTATAACTTTGTCTGCTGTGCCTTAGTTTATATTTATTTATATTTGAAATTTGAAATAAGAAAAAAAAAAAATACATGTTCAAGTCATTTTATTATAAGAAAATGTCAACCACAATTCTTAAGGTTCAGGATCAGCAAATAATTATAATAATAAATATATACTTTTTCATTACAAAATTTTATTTATTGGTGTTTAAACTCAACCCTGTTAATAAAATCTTATATCAATTACATTTTTATTTTCATTCTTTTTCTATTATCTACCTCATTTTTTTAAAAAAATGGAATGTGTGATTCACATTATAGCTAAAATTATGCGACATCCCTGTCAATATGCCTGTACATGTTGTCCACGTACACTGGATACACTTTTCACTTTTCTAATGATGTAGTCCCCAATTTTATCACGCAGCTACTGAGCTACACGTCCCTTCATGAGTTTTACTGTACAAGTTCCTAACATGGTTCTAAACGAGTCAATTAAGCATCATAAACATATTATATATACGAGCTCTATGTATATTATTAAGATGTTTCACTTATAGTTAGAAATATAAGCAAAATACTTCTTATTATATAGTATCAAAGAATCACAAATCATCATTGTCTTCAAACCAAACCAAACCAAATGTCAAATTTTCTGAATGGAGACCTCTCATTCTGGTTCTACCTATCCATGCCAGCCTTGATCATCATACTAGTCTTACCCACAATCCTTAATCTTGTATCCAAATGGAGTTCAAAATCATCAACAACCCACAAAATCTCACCCCCATCCCCTCCAACACTCCCAATACTAGGAAACCTCCACCAACTTGGCATGTCCCATCACCGCACACTCCACTCCTTAGCTCAAACCTATGGCCCCTTAATGCTACTTCATTTTGGTAAGGTACCAGTCCTTGTGATCTCAAGTGCTGAATCAGCACGTGAGATTCTCAAAACCCAAGACCATGTTTTCTCCAACAGACCACATCGTAAGATGTTTGATATCTTTTGGTATGGTTCAAGAGATGTAGCATCTGCTCCATATGGCCTCTATTGGAGACAAGTAAAGACTTTATGTGTCTTGCATTTGTTGAGTTCCAAAAAGGTTCAATCTTTTGGTGTAGTGAGAGAAGAGGAAGTTGTTATAATGATAGAAAAAGTTAGGCAAAGTTGTTCCCATTTCATGCCAGTGAACTTAACTGAGTTGTTCTCCAATGTGACCAGTGATATAGTGTGTAGAAGTGTTATTGGAAGGAGATATTGTGCGAGTACGCTTAGGGAACCAATGATTCATTTGGAAGAGTTGTTGGGGGCTTCAGTTTTGGGGGATTATATACCTTGGCTTGATTGGTTGGGAAGAGTTAATGGAATATATGGAAGAGCAGAGAGAGTTGCGAAAATGTTTGATGAGTTCTTGGATGATGTTATTGATGAGCATGTTAGGAAGAGAGGCAATGATGTTGGTGGAGAAGGTCAGAATGATTTTGTGGATATTTTACTGCGGATTCAGAAGAGAAACACCGCAGATTTTCAGATTGATAGAACAATCATGAAGGCCTTGATCATGGTAAGAAGATTTGTCTTTTCATTGTTTGTGCCTATGATTGATGCATGATTAGTTTTCCGTATTACAATAATATTTCTGCAGCAAATTTTCGTAGACAAAATTAAGGTAATCAATCTCTCAGACTCCAAAAAAAGAGTAACCAAATGACTAGAAAACTTTTGTTGCAGAAGATTTCCTCTCGTGGCAATTGCATATCCATATGAATTATGAAGTGAACAAGATTTCAGACCAATGAATTATTAGTAATTTTATATATATGTGTGTGTTATTGAAAATAATATACTCAAAATTAGCAGTAAATTGAGAGGGAGTTAAGAAAACTGCTAATTTTATAACATCTCGCTAGTAACTAACGAATTTGCGTTTATTGGTAGTCTTGAAAGGAAATGCTCTACTTAACAAAACCAACTTGATCGCCTCCTTGCTAATTAAATTTATTTACTTTTACTCTTGCTTTAATGGTAGGTGTTTTTTCTTATATTTGCAATTATTTTGATTTATTGATATATATGTTTTCAGGATGATGTTCTTAACAAATTTATATTTTTTTTACAATTATTTACTATTCTCCCGAACCTCTATACCCTTGCTCCATTAAATTGTCATTATCTGGGAAATATATGTGGTTAATAATATCATCAATATGATAAGACACATTTTCATGCCATGTGCACATGTTTTAGTGATAAGAATTTCTAGTGACAATGACATATATTGTTTATTTCAGGATATGTTTGGTGCAGGTACTGACACTACCCTTGCAGTTCTAGAGTGGGCAATGACAGAACTCTTGAGACACCCAACTGTGATGCAAAAACTTCAAGATGAGGTGAGAAACATGGCAGGGAACAAGACCCACATAACTGAAGAGGATTTGAGTGGCATGGCTTACTTGAAAGCAGTGATTAAAGAAACTCTAAGATTACACCCCCCATCACCCATATTGATTCCAAGGGAATCAATGCAAGAAACCAAAGTAATGGGGTATGACATTGCATCTGGCACACAAGTTATGGTTAATGCTTGGGCAATTTCAATTGACCCTTCTAATTGGAACCAACCTCTAGAGTTTCAACCTGAGAGATTCTTGAATAGTTCAATAGATATCAAAGGGCATGATTTTCAATTGATCCCATTTGGTGCTGGAAGGAGGGGTTGTCCTGGCATAACATTTGCTATGGCTGTGAATGAGTTGGTCCTAGCAAATGTTGTCCACCAATTTAATTGGGCATTGCCTAGTGGAGCAATGGGAGATCAAGCATTGAACATGTCTGAAACTACTGGGTTGACCATTCACAGAAAATTTCCTCTTGTGGCACTTGCAAATAAAGATAAAAACATAAAAATGAAATAAGGGAGTGTATGTATTTTTAAATACTACTGTAATTTCAGAAGACCAGAGTTAACACACTCTTCATAATTTTTTTTAATACACTCTTTATTTTAGAAAGTTGAGTACGCCGTTAAGATTAATAAAAGGTAAATTATGTAGTATCTTTAAAAAAATTTAGAGTGCTGTATATGAAAAATTTCAATTAATATTATTTATATACGTCTTTAAATAATAAATTTATTTACTAATAAATTATTATATTTATTGCATTTAAATAAGTTTAAAAGTGATTAATTTTTTTAACAAAAATAAAGTGTAATTAAAATTTAACGAATTAAAATTTAAAAATAAAATAATAATATTATATTAATATATTATGTTATAATTCTTTTTATTTATAATAAATAAAAATTATTTAAATAAATATTATATTATTATATTCAAAAGTAAAAATTTATAAAAAAATTATAAAATAAGAAATTAATATACAATATATATATATATATATATATATATATATAAATTTTGTTATGAATATTTAATAAATTTATATTTATTAGAATTGCGAAGGTAAAAAAATTTTCATTTTAAATATTTAATATAGTTATATTTAGTGCGACTTAAATTTGAGACTAAAAATTAAACTAAAACAACTTATATAAGTTGAACTACATATTTGGTGAAATTTTTTTAATACATTTAAAAAATTTGTTCAAATTCATTAGAAATAAATTCAAGTAACTTAATAAATTAAGAATGAAGTTTATATTTTTTTTTATTTTTAATAAATTTTAATTAATAATAAAAAATATGTTACTCTTTATCTCTTATCTAAATAAGCAAACAAATCAAGGAACAGAATTTATCGTCGAAAGAGTTAAGACTACTAGCTGGATAATGTTGCTATTGCTATGTGGTGTGTGAATGGAAGTAGTGTTCTTTTTAATTTTATACGATCTCGCTCATAAGAATTTGCTTTTGTTACTTTTTAGTCTTTCTTTGAAGAGCAAGTGGTTTTTAGTAAGATAAATTTTAGATTTATTTGATAGAAAAATATTTTTTAATCTTTATAGATATAGTTGAATTTATTTTTATTTTTTATTAATTTTAGTCATCATAATTTTTAAAAAAATTAAAAAAATCTCCGTTTCACATATATACTGTACGTCATTTAAGAATGATTACTGTTTTTACACGTTTAAATGTACGTTATATCAATGCAAATTAATAATAGAGAGCATTTAAAATTTTATAAAAATTAAAAATATATTAAACAATTTTTCTCAAATGTTTTCTTATATAATTTTTTATTGTTAATTTTGTTTAAAATTTTCTTTTTTTACTAAATATAAATTACATATATATTTATGATACTTGTTATGGTATTTATAAACTTGAGAAGGTAGTCTATGTTCTTTGTGGATCAAATGTTATAATTTGTTGATATAGAATTAACGATGATAAGATAAGAGAGTTACTAAACTTTTTTAATTATAAAAGATATCATAAATTTTATCTATATTTATTTATTATAAGTGGTTATAGTTTTTTTTTATAAATTAAATTACTTTGAATTTATATTTTTATTTAAATTAGAACAATTCATGCATTTGATAAAATGCTTATTAGTTATAAGTAAACTCAAAGACGGATTAGTCGTTTAAAATTGGATTAGTCTGTTTCAGTTCATCACATTTTTGTCATCAACAACATATGACCAACTTGAGGCTAAACATTATTAGGATTTAAGTGCCTCTGGCCTCTCTGACTGTATAAAAAACCAAAAGGTTTGACTTTATCTTTTTATTAGAATTTATTTAAATATTTTATTCGTTAAAATTTAAAATGGTTTAATTATTCTCTTCCTTCAGACAAATTAACAAGCTATTTATTAAATCATTTAATCAAAAATAAACTAAACGTCAATTTTGATATAAGAGTTATATTGTTAAAATATTGGCATCGTTGATTCTAAAATCTCTTCGTTGATTTAGTTAGAAAGGTTAAACAAAATCTATTTTTGTATAAATATTCAATCATATTAATTATTTAATTCTGTGTTATATCCATGTGAACCTTGCACTTTAATAACTCTTCCAAAAAACGTAATCATAGTAAATGTAATAATTAAATTTTCTTACCCATGACATTGAAAGATAAATTTTAAAAAAAATGATTGAACTTCGGATTTTAAACTCCAACAAATAATAGAAAACATCCGCTCATTATTAAGTTGGCCAGTGGTCCACGGTTTTTTTTTTTTTTTTTTAATACTAGAATATGAAATTTTGGCAAAAATTATAAGAATATAAGAAATTAATAAATGGCAATTTTTAGTAGTTTATTTTTTTTTTAAATATCAATGACAATACTGCTAACTCAGACATTATTATACTTGAAAACATGTTTTCATTTTTATACATTTAGAAATGTTTTCTTTTCGAATTATTAAAAAAAATGGTGGCAAGCTGCATATGAATTTCCTAAATTAGCTCTAATTATGACTGGATAAGAGAAGTTTCAGTCACATTTCTAATCTCTCTTTTCTTGGATACTTTTAATCCATTTTAATGAAATTTTTACTCGTCAGTTAAAGAGTTAAAAATAAGTGGGCTTTAAAAAATGAACATTAATATTAATAAAATTGAATTTTAATTTTATTATGAATTAGCGTATATTTAACTTCTCGGATGTGTAATATCAACTGTCAATGACGTTTAAACATATTAGTCTAAGACTTTGGGATGTGAAAATCAAACTTACGCTTAATTACCTGTAGATTATCCATAAAAAAGTGTTCTTATAAATTCTTTAGTTCACTTAATAATTATTCATAGACGAAAGCTATAGTTAGACTGAGTTTCTAAACTTCCAGTTTAATATATATTTGTGCATGTTAAATAGGCTTTATGCTAGTACAACTGGACTCAATGTTATATAAGACGTATTTGAATAAATAATTAGTTTAATATTTTTTATTAGATAAAAATTTGATCAAAATTTTATTAGAATAGGTTAAAACAGTTTATTTTAATAATTTATATAAACAAACTATTAAAATAAATTGAAAAGAATTTATGATAATCATAAATAATTTTATAAATGCTTTCAAATATTTCAACGATGTTTATTTTAAAAATTTATAAATTAACATTTTACCTAAATATGAATGTAATTTATTTTATCAGTTCATGATTGAAAAAAGAAAATCCCATGAAAACATTAAAATGAATTCAGACAGGCTAAAACGGGTTTTTATCTCTTGTCCCTTGATTATACCTTCGGTTGGATAAGAGAAATTGATTGGTTGTGTTATGTCTGATAATATTTTTATTAATTATTACCGTCTAAGAATATCTCAGCTATAATAACCATAATAAAAAACATAATCGCTAATATTAAATACTTCAGAGAAATCAATGCAATCCAGTCAAGTAATGCCCTCTCCAAATTATTGTGTGCTTTGGACTAGCAAGAGAGTGCTTTGAGACCATGGATCTGGTTATTTAAATTTAGAAAAGTGAGAAATTGAATTGAATTTATACATTACCCTTCAAAGCATACTTATTAATTAGTAGACAATTACTTGATATTAAGTGAAAATTAGAGATCAACACTTATGACTGCAAGTGAACTTTGATGCTTCACTCAAACATATAGTTAATTTTATCATTACCCAAATGGATTTTTTTGAAGTTTTAATTAACTCTTGATTATGATAAGAATTTGTATCATGAATTAAGTTGAGTACTCCCTAGCTATGGGTTATCTTGAAGTTTCAAGCAACCTCCAGCTACGGTAAGAATATCTACCCTAAAGTTTTGAGCATTCCACCACTATGGGTTTTCATAATAGTTGCCCTTTAAGTATTGAGCATCGTCACTACCTTTAGGGGTGTACATGGTTCACCTAACTCGAAAATTTGATAGAATCTTTCTTTTTTAGACCGAAACCAAAATACTACGCATCATCATAAATAGAGCGAGTCTTCGAATTTAAGAAATCTTCCTTTCCAAGCTTTATACTTTTAAGTGAATTAATCAGCTTTCTATTATCCTTACTGTACCAAAAAAATATATTAGAGATCAATTCTAATTCTAGTTCGTTTCTTGTTGAAATTGTTTTGATAAGTATGTTATATAAAATTAAGGAAACTTAAAAAAGCAATTTTAAAAGTCACTCTCTAAATGGTTATAAGCATGAATTACTATTGCTAAAAATTCAAATTACAAACAAAAATACGTAATTAATCACTAAAATACTTTTTATCATTACATATATTATTTTCACTTCACCAATGACAACACTACAACTATCATTATTATCACTTTTTACATACTTAGCATCGTCTGAAATTATTGTTAGTTCTTCACTGTTCACAATTATTATTAATTTTTCATTATGTCGAATGTTAATCACTATATTACCATGATCTTTGTACTTCTAATTACAAGTTGAAGGAGAATTTGCTATTATGTGTGTTATTTCTAAGTTAGTAATTATTAAAATAAATTTTAAAATTTTATTTTGTGAGTGGTTAATATATAATTTATTTTTAAAGTGACTATAAAGAAAAATTGTTGTATAAATGAATATTATATAATATTATATTGCAACTGCTCTTTAATATAAAGTCACTTTAAAAAGTGATTATAAATAAAATCACTCTTTAAATAAAGATTAGAAAGAAATTATGATTTTTCGCTTTTCAAATGACTGATTTGAAAAACTTAAAATAACTTAGTGCCTTTTAACTCTCCTTTATCACGTTTACGTTCCTTACGTTCCTTGCATTCCTTGCAGTAAAATCTCCTTATATATAAAGCAACTCCATATGCTTTTCTTCGGAACCTTGTCTTCACTTGAAAGTATAGCAGAAACCATTTCCAAAATAAAATTGGTTTGCACCAACTAGACTTACCATTGCCAGATATTACCCTTATATTAGTGAGCTCCATTAATAGTTTTTGTAGAGGTAAAAGCTAGGAGGCTACATATTGTTTGCGGGTTTTGTATCATCGTAAAATTTCTCTATTATCAACGTGTTAACTCATTGCTCTCTCTTTCTCTCTCTCTCTCTCTCTCTCTCTCTCTCTCTATATATATATATATATATATATATATATATATATATATATATATATATGATCTTTTTATACCGGTGTAAGTCTAAAAATTCTTACGCCTAATCTGAACTTTTCATTTAACTTAAATCTAAGAGATTATAATTTATTTAGAATTTAGGGTTTAAGTTAAATGAAAGGTTCAGATTGAGTATAAAAGGCTTTAGACTTACACTGGTGTAAGAAAATTCTGCCTATATATATATTCTTAGGATTAGAGGGTAAGAAAAATACGATCAAGAAGTCTCAAAGCAGTGAGCTATCATCATAATAAAAAACGTAACTAAGAGAGAACTTAAATCACAACTTCTAGTTTGAAAAAGAAAAAAAAAGATAAGAAGAAGAACATGAGCAGGATTTACGTGGTTCACTCAAGTTGAGCTACATCCACAGGTGACAGTGATCTCTTCTATTATTTAGTTAAAAAATAGGAAAAAAAATACATTACAAAAGATGAGAGGTTGTTATTTATAGGTGTAGCACCATCAACTAAAAATAACAAATTTTTCAATAAAAAAAATATCAACTAACTTTAATTAACTAACTTAGGCCCACAAGCTTGATCTAGAATGAGAGATCAAAGATGATTATTGATGGTTCTAAGATATATTAACTAACAATCCTCCACCTTGAGCTTGAACCATCATGCACTGAGCTGAAGAACTCCATAGGACCTTCAAGTTATGTTGTGTTGTCACCCATCACAGAGGATTATCCCCACTTATCAATATTGAGCAAGTCAAGGCAATGCATGAACTTGCTCTTAGAAACTGGTTTAGTGAACATATCTGCAAGATTATGAGTTGTGTAAATCTTTTGCACTGTAATCCTTTTCTTTGTCTGAATGAAATGGTACCTCATATCTATGTGTTTAGTTTTTTCATGATGTACTTGGTCTGTCACAAAAGATAAAAGTATACTCTTGAGTGATGCTTAGATCAAAGACCAGTCCCTTTAACTAGATTCCTTCTTTAGATGCCTCTGCTAAGGCCATGTATTCTGCTTCTATGGTGGAGAGAACAACTGATGGCTGCAAAGTTGCTTTCCAATTGGCTAGATAGCTTCCTAGAGTGAATGCATACCATGTAGTTGACCTTCTTCTATCAAGATTTATAGCATAGTTTGCATCAGAAATCCTACAATGCTACAGTTTGTGTTAGCTCCATAGATGAGACTAACATCAGTAGTTTCTCTCAAATACCTGAAGATCCTCTTTACTGCTTGTCAATGCTCCTTTTGAGGTTGTTTGAGGAACCTACTAACCATATTGACTGCATGGGCTAGGTCTGACCTTGTACACACCATGGCATAAATTACGCTACCTATTGCACTAGCATAGGAAACCTTAAACATGTATTTTTCATTTTCTTGAGATAGAAACTAAAAAATAGCTAATAGTTTCTCTTTTCTTGATATGGGTGTGCTTAGGGCCTTGGCATTGCTCATGCCAAACCTGTTTAGAATCTTATTGATGTAATCCTTTTGAGACAAAAATAGCTTTTTCTGAATTATGTCTTTGTAGATCTCCATACCTAGGATTTTCTTGGTAGAATCTAGGTTCTTCATATCAAATTCTCCACTGAGAAGCTTTTTCAGATTCTATATGGCTGCCATATCTTTGGAAGCTATAAGCATATCATGTACATAGAGAAGTAGATATATGACAATTTCATTCTCCACCTTATTATGATAGACACAACAGTCACATGGACTTCTCTTGAATCCTGAGTCAATCATAAAACTGTCAAATCTTTTGTACCATTATCTTGGAGATTACTTCAACCCATAGAGAGACCTTGAAAGTTGATACACATAATCCTCTTTTCCTTCAATGGTGAAACCTTCAGGTTGAGACATTAGGATGTCTTCTTCTAGTCTTCCATGTAAGAAGGCAATTTTAACATCTAACTACTCTAATTCTATATCTTGACATGCTATAAGAGCTAATAGAATTCTGATGAACGTGTGTCTTACAACTGGTGAGAATATCTTATTGTAATCAATACCTTTCTTGTGACTGAACCCTTTTGCCACTAGCCGTGCTTTATATCTTATTGGCTCAACACCTATAATTCTAGCTTTGATCTTGTATATCCCCTTACAATTAACTATGTGTTTTCCTTTAGGTAGTTTAATTAGTTTCCAAGTTTGATTTTTTAGAAGGAATTTCATTTCTTCTCTCATGGCTAGAATCCATTTGTCTGAATCCTTGTGATTAATGACTTCTTTATAATTGGTAGGTTCTGATGAATCTACTTTTTCTGCAATATGTAAAGCATAGGCAACCATGTCTTCAAAGCCATATCTCACAGGGAGTTTGATTGTCCTTTTAGGCCGCTGAATATTCTTAGACTCAGATTGAGCATATGATTTTGTTTCTTAGGAGTTTGTTGTTTTCTTTTCTAATTATTCCAACTGAGTCTCCTCATCAAATTCAATTGTCTTATCCTTGTCCTAATCAGTCCCTAAGGAGTCCTCAATTTCAGTTGTCTTAGCAGTATCCTGATCCTTACCTAAAATTGTCAACTCCAATCCCAGGTGAAACATGTGGGATTCCTTCAAAACATCTCTATTAAGAATGATCTTTTTCTCAATAGGAAACCAAATTCTATAACCTTTTACCTTATCACCATAACCCATAAATTGACCTTTCTTAGATCTAGGTTCTAGTTTGTCTCATTGACATGATAATAAGCATTGCAACAAAAAATTTTAAGATTTGAGTAATTTGTAGGTTTGTGTGACCATACCTCAATAGGTGTTTTACAACCTATGGCAGTGAGGAGTGACTTGTTGATTAAGTAGCAAGTTGTGTTTACTGCTTTAGCCTAGAAGTTTCTGCTGAGACTTGCATTGGACAGCATGCACCTTACTCTTTCAAGTAAGGTTCTATTCATTCTCTCAGCTATCCCATTCTGCCGAGGTGTATTTCTAACTGTATATTGCCTTGAAATACCTTCCTCTTTACAGTAGTTTGTGAACTTAGTGGAGCATATTCTAGACTACTGTCTGTCCTTAACTTTTTCACCTTGTTCCCAGTATGATTCTTTATCAACACTTTCCATTTCTTGAAGAACTTGAATGCCTGATTCTTGTGTTTCATGATATATATCCAAATCATCCTTGAATAGTCATCAATGATAGAGAGGAAATACCTACCACCACCAAGTAAGGGAACCCTGGATGGTTCTCAGCAATCTGAATGCATATAATCCAACATGGACTTAGTGGTGTGTTGTGCTTTTGGAAACTTGATCCTGTGCTGCTTTCCAAAAACACAGTGTTCATAGAACTTGAGTTTTGTTAGAGTATGACTTTCTAACAGCCTTTGTTTGCTAATAATCATCATCCTTTTCTCACTCATGTGGCCAAGTCTCATATGCCAGAGTAGTGTGTGATCTGGTACTTATTTGTCAGCTACTGAGACAGATTTTGAAGCTAGAACAATTGATCCTTGCAGCATGTAGAGATTTCTATGTTTGACACCTTTCATGACAACATTGGACCCTTTTCTGATCTCCATCCATAACTCCACCTTCAGTATTGCTTTTGAAACCCTTTGAATCAAGTACCCTCATTGATACTAGGTTCTCCTCAAATCAGGTACATGTCTAACTTCTATGAGAGTTTTGATTACTCCATCATGCATCCTAATCTAAACTGTCCCGATACCACTAATTCTGCATTTCATATCATTTTCCATGAAAACACTTCCTCTTGATTTCCTTTCATATGTCAAGAACCAACTTCTATTGAGGCACATGTGATAAGAATAACCTGAGTCTAATATCCATTGATCAGAAGGATCTTGTGACTTGTCATCAATGGATAGAACTAGATTACTTTCTGATGAGAAAGCTTCTTGAACAGTGGCTGCAGATGATTTTTGATTCTTCTTCCTTGGACAGTATTTCTTCCAATGACTAGGTTTCTTGCAATAGTTACATATATCCCTTGGATTCACATCTTTTGTATTCTGGTGGCCTTTCTTCTTATTCTTTTCTTTCTTCTTCTTGCCATTCTTGGCTGTGTTGAAAACTGTTAAACCAACACCATTCCTTTCTTCTGCATTGGATGATGCCTTAAACCGAAGTTCTCTTGAATAAAGGCTAGATTTCAGAGAATTGACAAAACTTTCATATGATGGAGGAAGTGAAGCTAACAATCATGGCAGTATCCTCATCTTTAATTTTCACATCAATGTCACAAAGTTTTATCAAGATTGAATTTAGTTCATTAAAATGATCTTTTAGAGGAGTACCTTCTTTCATGTGTAGACCAAATAGACGCCTCTTCAATAAGAGTTTGTTGCAAATTGACTTTGTCATGTAGAGCTTTTCCAACTTCAACCATAAGCCACTTGCAGTTTCTTGATCTACCACTTCATAAAGCACTACATCTGACAGTGAAAGCAAGATCAAGGAGTGAGCATTTTCTTCTTGTTCAGCTGAATCCTCCTTCTTTCAAAAACTCCTTTATCCTTTGAACTTTCTGATTCATCTTTCTTCACAGCTACAGAAGCCAAAGGAGCCCACACTCATTGTTTCTTTAGCAATGCACACATACCACAAATTGAAACTGTTCTTTCCATTAAATTTCTCTATCCTGATAATGTTAGACATGACTCTTAATTGTTCTTCTTGATCTAATCACAGCAGCAAAAGTTTCAACGGAACATACAAGCTTTCAGATCGGGAAAAAATTATCATAATTGATAAAAGAGATTAACTATGCAATTTAGCAATATATATATAGGAAATGCATAACTAAAGATGAATAATTATTGAGATTTTTAATTGAGAGTATTGTAACTAATAAATTAAATTTTATAAATGTAAATATATGTATTTATAAGAAATTTGAAAATTTATATAATATAATAATTTTATAAATATAAATATAGATATTTATACAAAATTTAAAAATTTATACAAAGTAATAATTTTTTATAATTGCAAATATATGTATTTATAAAGAATATAAAATTTTATATAAAATAATAAAAAAATTAAAGAAAAAATTTTATTTCTAAAATTTATAATAAAATTAATAAAAAAGAGTGAATAAAAAATAAAATAATTATAATAAAACAAAATATAATTTATACATAATTTTCATTCTATTTTAATCCCAAAAAATGTATATGAATAACTCTGAAAAGGAATAACTTTATCTTTCAAATAATGTACTATAAAATAATAGAATATAGAGGTTGTCACAAATTTCCGTGTATCTTAGTGGATTATTCAATAAACACAAAGATCATGAAATCAATTCTTCCTTTATCTTTCTTCTTTCAGCATCAAGATTTTATGTTTTCACATATGGTGGGTTGTTTTTATATACGTTAAAAAAGAGAAATAATAAATAATAAGTAAAATAAATGATAGGATAAAACAGATCGATCGAGTAATTATTAGAAAAAGATATAAATAAGTGTAAAATCATGAAAAAAAAGTTCTTATTATAAACATTTACAGCAAATGATTGAAATTAAAGACAAGGAGGAGAGAACTTAAGATCAGAAATCTAAATTTGGCACGTAATAAATAGAATCGTAGCGTCTGCGAATATATTGAATGAAGAGAGAGTAGTGACAAAGTGAAACTAAAACTGGAAAGTGGACCACTCAAAGAACAAAGCAGAGAAATGCAATTGCAAGGTTTGGTTTCGGAATACGAAGCAACAAGATATCATGCTGACATGGACAACAGCCACTCCTCAGAATCTCAGCTTCGGCGCAGAAGATTTTTTCTGCTAGTAATTAGTAAATGTTAATTAATACAATATTCCAGTTTTTTAATAAATAAAGTACGTATTATACTATAATATAAACAAAATTAATTTTTTTTTTAAACAATCACCTGTATGTCATTAAATATAACTTCTAGTTGATTATTTTTATGAAAATTTTAAATTTTTGTAAGGTTTTTCAATACTTAATATTTAAATATTTATCTTTTCTTCGCGGATCCCCAAAATATCTCCCTCTCACTCTCATGACCGTCAGAGATATTTTGTACACTTCCACATTTCAACCCTACCCACTCCCCTAGCGTATCCTTCTCCACTCGCCCTCCTATTGGTTACCAACCAAAGTGTGGTTTAAAGTACATTATTTATATATATATATAGATATAGTATTCTGATCCGAAAATTAAAAAATATATTAATGGCAATACGTAAAATATTGTATTAATTGCATTAAACAATTTATTCTAGGTGGATTTATTTGTTAACTATTATCATTCATTTAGAATATTAATATTTTGTAATTTTTTTTAGAAAATGCTTAATAAATAATTCTTTAAGGACTTTGTTTCAAAGTGAAAGTAAAATAAAAATTTAATTTTAGTGCATTGTTAGACTATCAATTAATTAAAATATATTATTAATATTTTTTTCTAAAAAATAATAAATTTTTAAGATAATAATTATGATTGAATGAAAGCATAAAATTTAATGTTTATAAATTAAACTCTTGAAAGAAATGCAAAGTAATGAAGATAAAATTTAATTAAAATTTTGATAAAGTTAGATAAAAAATTTATATTGATAAAGATCTTTCCGTATATATAAAAGATGAAACTGAAGCATCGAGAAACTCTCTTAGATTTTTCTTACTAAAATTTATAGAAATATCATGATTTAAATATAAAAAAATGGACTGAAATTATTAAAAAAACAAAATAGGTGTCCAAATGAAAAAGCGAGTACAGAATTTCCATACTCTCTTCGACGATTCCTCTCCGTTATTTTCACCACTCTCCTTAATCTCATTTCTCACGCTCAATAAAAGCGGCTCACAGAAAAACCTCACAACCACTTACACCACGCGATGGGGTCTCCGGTGCACGTGCCGGCGAGTGAAACGACGCCGTTTTGGACGGACGAGAAGCACGTGCAGTTCCTGAACACAATGGAAGCTTCCTTCGTACGCACAATGCTAGAGAACAAGTGCGTCTCTTCTCACCACCGTTACTTTCTCCCCCTCGATCGCCACCTCCCTGACACCTCCGAATCCACGTTGGATTTGAAACCCCGACGCCGCACCAGAAAATACCATGCACCCTCAGGTACGTGATCCCACCTCTCCACCACCCTCCGCGCATTTTAGCAACTACCGCTATTCTTTGCCGCATGACAAGTCTATTATTATTAATAATTATCATTCATTATTATTTCTGGGTTGGTTTAAACGTTAAGTTACTGAGGATGTTGATAAGACAGCGTTTGGGTGCACATTATGTTTCGTTTTATTTTAATACGTTTGTTTGTAACGGTGGCTGGCTGGCGGTGGGGGATTTGTTTTATTGGTGGACGCTGTTTGACTGGCTAGAGTCTGAACCAAACAGCACGTAAGTGGACCGTGGAAAACATCGAATATGCCTCTTAGATATTTGTACACAACAACGTGTTCTTTTTTCTTTCGGATCAGACTCACCTTACATAAAAGGGAATTTTTATTTTTCAACTTTTATATTAAAATCAAATGTTTAATATTAAAAATTTATAAAATCAATGAAAAATTGTTACAATTTTATTTTAACAAGTTTGCGATCTCTAAAACAAAATAATTTTCTAATTTTCTCACTTTAACTAAAGTTGTTGTGTTAAATTAATAAATAATTTTATTAGTATGCAAATTGTCATGCATCATGTTGTTGTGATATTGTCTTATCTTTTAAATGTTTCTATTCTTATAATTTCTTAAAATATTATTTTTAATATAATATTCTTCTTTTTTTGTAAGAATATAATATTCTTTATATACTCTCCCGAGGATTTATTTATTTTTATATATTTGTCCTTAAATATCATCGAACCTTTACGGCATTTTAATAATTAGTCGTGATACAGTTTGGCTTTAATTATTGCAGAAAGTTTTAAAATTTTATAATTAATTTTTAAAAATAATACATTAATTTTTTTAATATATATGATTTAATAAAAAGATTCTTAAATAAAAAATTGAAATGGAAAGAGGATAAGATTTCAGTATCATATTTTGTATTATTATTGTGGAGAGTACACTGATAAAATCTATATTAATTTAAAGATATTTTTACTTCAGTACTTAAAAGTTAAGTTTTAGTATATATAAATAAAAAATTATGAAAAAAATACCTATTTATTACATTAAAGTTATAAATTTATAATAAATATTTTTAATAAAATTTTATTATTATTAAATATTTATGATCAGCCTTTTTCAAAGGGTTGACGTTAACATTTATTTTTAATTTAATTTATGGTAGAAAATTTATATTTAAAAACTTAATCTTTACAATATAATTGTTTTTGTATTAATTTTTTTTATTGCGTGTATAATCGTGTTTCTTAAATCTTTTAAACTTTTATTGTGTTATCTTTTAATGTATTTTTATGGAAAAGATCTCACGTTCCTGGTCTCCAATTGGGTCCCTGGTTTAAGAGGGTTCACTTTTTGACCAGTGTTTTTCTTTTTCTTTATCTTTTCCTTTTCTTAATAATTTTGGATTGTTTCATGCGATAGATTCAATGGGTCCAACAGCAAGAAGAACGAGGAGGAGATCATTTCAACTCTGCAATTCGTCACAGGACCAGGTGTGTATTTAATTTGTATGTGTGTATTTGTTTTCATTTGTCAACTACTCAACATGGCCTTCCCTTGTGGGTCTGATTTATATGAATCGTATTAACCAAACATGAACATTCCTCCATGTGGTGGCTTTTTAATACAAGGCTTGTTCATTTGTTTATTTTTTGGGTGCAAAATACTGGGCATTCTATAGCTAATTGCATTTTTTGCTCGATCTTTTAGAAGCATGCAATTCATCGAATTATTACACATGAGAAGGATATTTTGGCGCTTATAAATGGGATAAGTCCATAGATCAGAAAAAGGACTAATGAGTGCTTTGTATGTGTCCCACACAGGTGGTCCCACAAGTAGAAATTGAAAGAGAAGGCGCAGCTTGTAATGGTGACGATGATAAAAGAGCAGAAAATTAATGTTTAGTGTACCTTTTCCACCAACCATCATCGGAAGTGTTTTTTTTTTTATTTTTTTTTTATTTTTATGGTAGTTTATTTTTACCATTCTTTCTCACTTGTATTTTAACTTCTTAAAGTTTGCCCCTCTAGGTAGTAATAATATTTGATCTTGTTTTTTTCTTTAATGATGGGCATTTGGCTGTTAATTTTTTAAAAGCTTGTGTATGGTTTTATTTGATAGCTAGAATTTACCAATTTAACTAAAATCTTCTATAATCAGAAAAATATTAAGAAAATGCAGGTAGTTTTTGTACGTTATTACTCATAGGCCGGGCACATTTATATTTTACTGTTTTGTTTTCTCTTAATGTTGGCAAAAGAAAATAAGGTTTAGTGACATATTATGGATGGTAGATATTTTATGGAAGTTCTAGGTAATATCATACCAACAATATTTGATAGGGTGTAGGTGGAATAATAAAAGAATAAATGAAGTTAACCTTTGTGATATTTTCATAGCAACACATATATGATATGATATGATATGATATGATATGATGTTCCTATAAATTAATATATAGAGGGGGGCTCGTGAATGGTAATGCCATTATGGTACGAAGTGGATAGATTGGAGGATAGGGATAGGGACAGGAGAGGGTTTTTCAACCTTATCTGTATGAATACGATGGAGGTGGTGGTTGGTTGATAAATGTTTTCAAATCGAAATTTCGTGATCCATAATGTATGCTATTTCTTCTTTTAGAATAGTTCCTTCTCATCGCCAACTTTGCATGACTGCACCTGATGTGAAATCGTCTTCGTCGCTTTGAAGAAGGTTTCATATAGTGTTTTTAAAAGTGGTCGTTGAAGTTGAAAAGTAAGTGAACGTTTAGTAAAGTACAATTTTGCTTACTTGTCATGACTTTTATTTAAATTATTTCAATTTAAAAATCAAATACACTAAGTGGTGGATGTCTTCTCACAATATTATAAGGATTTGTTTTAAGTAATTAAAAATAATAAGTTTTATTGAATATATATATATATATATATATATATATATATATAGTCTTTAATAGAAATATATATAAAACAATTATCCATTTAGTTTAATAAATTTGAAAATAATTATATTCGTAAGAAAATTTTCTCGATAAAGCTTAATAAGCTAAAGCTGATATCGGTTCCTCTCCCCCGTCAGTGTTATCAATTTGATTGTGGTGTTATGATTTTCCTAGTGCGTGTTTCATGGGGATTGTCACATAGACCTTTCGATGACAGTATTTTCTTTCTTTCTTTTTTTAACTTCTACAATCTTCTTTGATAATTTTATGACGGATCTAAAATATCTTTATTTTTTTAATATTAAAAAAAAACTAGCTCAATATTTGAGTTTTTCTATCTACATTTTCTTGTTTTTCAATGGGTATGTTGAACATAAAAAGAAAAATAAAATAAAATAGACCTCAACCATAGTGTAGAATTTATTTTAAATAAATAAATAGTTTTTAAAAATATATTTATTTACATTATTTTTATAAAAAAAATTATCAGATTTAGTGTTGAAAATATATTTTTTTAAATAGTCTTGCAATGAGAACCATTAATTGATAGCTAGGTAATCAGTATTTCACTTAATACTTGTCATGAGACAGTGAAAATATTTTTTTTTAAGAATTAGATTTTATTATCTTTCCTAGTCCCGTACAATTGTAAAGAAATTATGTTGTAATTTTAGAATTTATTTAATTTATTTCATAATTTAAAAAAAGTTGAAATTGTAATTATTTATTTATTTTAGTTGTTAAATATAGGATTTTGGTTTATGCTATTTGTTAGTATATAAATTCTGAATTCTTAGACTAAAATTGAATAATTAGTTATTTTTTTTAAAAGTAGGTAATTACAGTAATTAAGTAAATTAGATATTTATTCAAATTTAAATAAAATTTCATCATTGTCAATGATTAATTAAGAATGAATTTAATTTATAAAATATTAAATAAATTTAAATGTAGGTAAATTAAATTTATTAGGTTCTAATAGACTGAAATAAGATAATTAGTTAATTTATTTAAGAAAATAGGTAATCACATTAATAAATAAATTTGATATTTATTCAAATTTGTCAAAAATTTTATCACTGTTAATGATTAATTAGGAGAGTAAATTTTAATTTATAAAATATTAAATAAAATTAAATAAATATAAATGTAGGTAAATTAAATTTATTTGGTCGTAGTAAAGTAGAAAAAATAATTAGTTAATTTTTAAAAAATAGGTAATTACAGTACATAAAGAAATTAAGTATTTATTCAAATATTTCAAAAATTTCATCAATGTTAATGATTAATTAAGAATGAACTTAATTTTAAAATTAAATAAAGCACGAATGTAGGTCAATTAAATTTGTTAGAGTCTAGTAGACTCAAATTGAATAATTAGTTGTTTATTTATAAAAAATAGGTAATTACAGTAAATAAAAAAAGAAGAAATATATTTAAATTTGTCAAAAATTTTGCCATTGTTCATGATTAATTAAAAGTGAGTTTAAGTTACAAAATATAAAATCAAATTAAATAAATTTAATAGTAGGTAAATTAAATTTATTAGGTTTTAATTTATAAAATAACATTTATTAGGTTTGTAAAAATTGAAATCATTTCGACATTATTTGAATTACTAAAGTAATCAATTAAAGATTGTACATCCATTACCTACTTGAAGGTCATTGATGACTCATATTTTGTACTCATATTTATAATCTTATTGCATCTTCTAAAATACCTTTTCTTTATTTATTTCTTTCATTTAGCATGTTTTTGTATTTCTTGCATTAAATTAGAGTTTTTATTAATACTTATTATCTTTACTTTATATTTCATATTTTTTTTATTTTGACCTTTGTTCACTATTTTGGCCATAATTTTTTTTGTAGATTTCCTTTTTACCTAATTATTTTTGCAATAAATTTCTAACTTCCTGAGCTTCAATTTAGACATATGGATCGTGCTGTTTAGAGTTAAGAGCTATTTTTTTAATTAATTTTTTAAGTTTAAACTTAAAACATAGCTTTTATATTTAGGGTTTTTATTGTAATTACTTGCGGTACAGCCTTGGCCCATTTATTTCTGTCTCATTTAAGACTAGTATATATAGGGGTCAAAAGGTTGACTTTGGAATTCTTCTCTTTTCATTATTTCGTTTTTGCAAGATTTTTCCGCTTTGGAGAGAAAACCTTTTTTTATTACCGTTTACTTGCCTCTTTTCAGATTTTGCAAAAAAATTCAAATTTTTATTCTGTTAAGATTTTCAATTTTTCTTTTCTCACATGGTTGAATCTCAAGTCATCTCATCTCAAGCGTGGATTGCGAGACCGATTGATCGCTCTGAGTTTGTCTTTTCACTTTCTTGTAATTCTTGATTAAGATTTGTGCATGCATAATTGAATTGAACTTTATTTGTATTCTTGAGTGTAAGATTGATCGATTAATTTCTTTTGCATTTGAAATTTAAGCAAATTCGGTATAGTAATCTTAGTTTGTGTCTGTGATTCTCTGTTTTAATTCGTGTTCGTTGTAAATTGTGTTCGTTTTGATTTGTGTTTGTTTTAATCTGCGTTTGTTTTTCTCTTTATTAATTTTCATTTTTCTGGGTTTCAATTCGTTTTCATTTTTCTAGGTTTCAGTTTATTGATTTAATTCAATTTCAATTCAATTGTTGATTTACTGTATTTTTCAGTATTCTTGCAATTTAATTTCTATTGCTAATTTATATTTTTGGTTGTCATTGTTTTTTATTCACGTTAAGGCATTTCAATTTCAATTTACGTTTATGTTTAAATTCTTAAAAACTACAAAACTCCCAATCTAACCACTTTTGCATGTTTAAAACTAAAAATAGGATGAATTTGTGTCCTTGTGAGATGACCTAAGTTTGCTCTTTATATTGCAAAAATTATTTGAAAAATCTAGTTTTGTTTGAAACCATTACGACGTGGTTGTCAGTCATTCACATACTCATTAGTTTCAACTATATAAACCGACTCAAAAGTATGTAATTGCATGTACTCTAATGATCTTAGCAATGTAAGTATACGATTCATCTCACTCACCAAAAACTCTTACAATAGCTTTTTGTTTCGTCTTCCATACTTTCTTGTATGAAACTTGATAATTAAATTGATCACTTATTCTTTCTTGAATTAACATGATTGACATCGATGGTTATTCTTTTACTATACTTGCAAGTAACATATTAAGTATGTTTCATGTTCGTACATTACAGATAGGTTCCTGCTACTGAATAAATTGGTTTAATTAAACTTATTGAGAACACAAAGAATCCCGCCTTTTATGATCCACAAATATCATTGGATTAACACATATATGTGTTCTACCACATATTGTGATTTTTCACTTGTTCAAATTTAGCCAACATTGCTCTAACTCTTCAGAAGCATCCACTAATATGATTTGGATACTTCACATGCAACTTTGTTAGTTTTGACTTCATCACAAAATAAAGTTGATGTGATTTCATTGCAAAATATTTAATAACCATTTCAATATCCTCTTTAGACTCAAATACTTACCCAACATATAATGCATCTCCTTCCTTTCAAGTTTAATTAGCATGAAAATCATAATTTATTATTTCTTGATCAACACGTTCTCAATTAATATACACCTAGATAATAACCACACAATGGAGTTATTTTATTTTTTGTCAACAAAAAAAAACTTTCAATGTATTTTTTTTTCATGGATAGAAGGGCTCCAAAGACCCAAAACAAACAAAAACTAGCCCTCCCTCATAAACAGGGTTATGTTACAATAAGCAAAAAAAAAAATATAAATAAAAGGAAGAGACGTATCAAAGTGATGAATTCCCATAGGCAAGGAGTGTCCATATTTGGAGAGTTAGTCAGTCACAAAGTTTGCTTCTCTCCAAATGTATGTACAACTGCTATTGGTATATAAAGAAAGAGATCTTCTTATTTCTGCTATCAATTATGAAGCAGGGCGAAGAGCAAACTAACCATACTTAATAAATCAAATAGCTGATATAGAATCAGATTCCACAAGCACTTGTTGTACACCTAACTG